GGCCCAGAGTTCAAGCCCCACAACCAACCCACAAAAAATAATACTCATCAAGGTCATGTGTGTGAAATTCAGTATCGCTGAGCTAATCCGAAGTATGGCTCAAAATTGGGGTTAGGAAAGGCTGTAAGAGATCATAGACCTTTCCCAAAGCCCCAGAGTAACTCCCCATCAGCAGAGACAAAGCCCTACTGCGGGGGTAGGCCCTTCCATCTCAGAAGAAAGTGCTGGAAGAATCCACCCCGTCTAGGTGTGGTCTCTCTGTGTCTCTCCTAGCTTTTCCATTTCCTCCTCACAACACACCCAGCCTGACGGTATCCCTTTAAACGCGGCCAGTCCACCCTGTGGCTTCAACATAGCTGTGACCTGAGAGACTGGAAGCTTCCGCCAGCCTCCGTCTGCTTTGAATGGCTTCATGGTAACTGTTGAACAAATGAGTGTCCTGGGGCTCATGGTGTCGGGTCTTTCATTTTAATGAGACACTATTACACTATCTCTTATCGCCCTTCATTACCAGCGAAATTACCACCAGCTAAATGTGCGGAAAAAATCACTCACGCGGCCCCCCAAGAAATTACCTGGAAATTAGAACCCTTCTTCAGGACACACGCACTGGGGTTCATTCGAGTAGAGGCAGAACTGGCAACCGCAGTGAAATGAAGTGGGGGGGGGGGTTCTCATCTGACTTTCCCCGCTTGGTGACCTGGACTTCTTCAAATAATACTCAGGAAGTGCTGCTCGTAGTTATTTAATATCTATTCAATTTTTTTAAGTATGAAAAGTGGCTGGGAAGGTGGCTCAGTGGTAGAGCGCTTGCCTTGCATGCATGAAGCCCTGGGTTCGATTCCTCGGCACCACATACACAGAAAAAGCTCGAAGTGGCGCTGTGGCTCAAGTGGTAGAGCGCAAGCCTTGAGCAAAAGCTCAGGGATAGTGCCCGGGTCCTGAGTTCAAGCCCTGGGACTGGAGAAAAAAAAAGTATGGAAAGTCCAGCACGCAGCCGTGGACACAGCAGTTGCTCAATGCACGCCTCTTTCCTTTTCTTTCCTGCCAGTGGCTCCCTCTTGCCCAGCAAAGACCACCAGAGACACAGCCCCCAGCGCTCCACACAGATGGACGAGGGGGTCGCAGGCTGAGCGCAGGCAGGAGACAGAGACCACAAAGTCAGTTTAGAAACTGGGCCCAAACAGAAAAAGAAGCCAGGACAGCCAGGGAGCGAGAACCGTGTGGAGTTACTCAGGCACCAGGGCTGGGAGAGAACAGCTGGGTGGTGGTAGGCCCTGACCCCGAGTGGAAAATGACCAGGGCTTGCTGGCAGAGCCACTAGCCCATGCGGCAAAGCTTGTGCACTGGAAAAGCTGTCAATACATAGGACGGAGCGGAAGGGGGCCCGATTAGCAAGGGGAAGAATGAATGACAAGAAAATGAGAAAATGCCTAGAAACCGTGTATGTGGCCGAGAGCACACAACCAAAAAAGCCTTCCTAACACAGAAGAGCAAAGGAGGCCAAGCGGCGGCCAAAAGCCACCTCGGAAATTCAACCCATCTCAAGCTCAAAGTACCTCCATAGAAAGCCATGGCCAGGAGGGAATGCAAACCCCACAGCGCTCAGCCAATAAGAATCAGGGGGAGGGGGCTCACCCCACAGGGCTCAGCCAATGAGAATCAGGGGCAGGGGGGCTCACACACCACAGATCAACTGCTTGTTATAACTGCCCAGCCTGCGCCCGCCCTTCCAATCCTCAGTCTGGTCTTGGGGGTTACAGTTATTTACCTTGCTTTCCAGTCAGTACTTTTTCATTGATGGCTTTATTAGTGAATTCACATCTTTAGATTCAATCAAATACCACTATCACTGACATACTAGATGACAGAATCAAGGTTCAAAAATGTTTGAGTGGGTCATTACTGTATGTTACAACAAAACAGAGTAAAAGTTCCTACAAATAATGTAAACATGGCCATTGTTTTTTTATCTAAGCCATCAACTATATGGAGTTGAGGGGGAAATGTATGGAGATAAAGTAGGAATTTTATCTTACTGTGGACTCAGAACAAATAACACAAAAATGACCCCTCCCCCACAAAAAAAGTCAAGTCCATCCAGGTGTAAACCCAGAGAAACTGCTGAAGAAAAGGAAGCAATTGTACTGAGGTACAACACCTCTGAGGACTTACTTCATTTCTGTGCCTTAAGAATAGCATTAGCAAGGGCTGATGTGTGGCTAGGTGGTGGAGCAACTGCTCAGGGTTCCATCCCAGTACCAAAAAGAAAAAAGGAAAAGAAAAGAGAGAAAGAAGGAAGGAGAGAGGGAAGGAGGGAGGGAGAAGGAAGAAAGAGAGGAAAGGAGGGAGAGAAGGAGGGAGGGAGGGAAGTATTGCTTTGGCACTCAGCCTAAGGACACAAAAATATAAAATCTATACATAAAAATTGAATATTTTAAAGCTTGATTTATAAGCAGATATTTATTGTCTGATATATGTATATCCTAAAATGAAATACTATTCATCCATGATAAATGATTTGGTTGTGTGATTACTGACACAGAAAAAAATTCATAATGCATTGGTAAGTCAAAATAAAGCAATGTATTAGTTGGGTTCCCGCCATCCATTGTATGTGTGTGTGTATGTATGTATGTTGTGTGTGTGTGTGTGTGTGGGAGAGAGAGAGAGAGAGAGAGAGAGATAGCAAGTGAAAGCATATACATAGGAAATTAGCATTATCACCAGATGGTATTTTTCCCACAAATGTATATTAGTGTTTCTTATGAGTGTCTATATTATTTGTATCTATTTTTAAGTTCTTTAACAAGGTAAATTAAATTATAACATTTATTGCCCGGCGCTGGTGGCTCACACCTGTAATTCTAGCAACTCAGGAGGCTGAGATCTGTGGATGGTGGTTCAAAGCCAGCCTGGGCAGGAAAGTCTGTGACACGCTTGGTTCCAATTAATCACAGAAAAGAAAAAAAAAAAAAGAAGGGGAGCTGAGGATCAAGTGGTAAAGCACTAGCTTTGAGCAAAAGGATCTCGGAGACAGCACCCGAGCCCAGAAATCAAACCCCAAGATGGGCAAAAGAAAAAAATATATATATATATAAGTTATTTCCAGAGAGAGACATCACAGTGAGCCGTGGAAGGGCAGACTGGGGCTAGGCTGTTAGCATCTTGCATTAGCTATTTGGACAACAGCAAGCAGTTACATGTGTTGGCCAGGAGATGGCGCCAAAGCAGGCTGCTAATATCTAACCACAGAATTGGAGTAGACTTTGCTCCAGAGAACTTTTATCAGATTTAAAAGACTTAAGATTTTCTGGCAAGAGCAAGTGTTGGGTTGGGTTGGGTTTTTTATCGGCCATGGGGCCTGAACTTGGCATCTGGGTGCTGTCCTAGAGCTTTTCCGCTTAAGGCTAACACCCTACCACTTTGAGCCACAATACCACTTGTAGAATAAGTGGGGTCGTTTGTTTTTTTATTATGTATTTTACCGTTGTAGAATATTTTTTTCCAAATGATGCTAAGTTTGCTTTCATGGGTTATGTTTTTCCAAGATTTTTGGTTTGGTTTGGTTTTTCTTTTTCACTCTTGATGACAGGACACTTTAACGAACAAAAACTTACAGCACCAGTTCTGCAGGTCAGACTCAAAACTTCCTGCAATCTGAGCACTTTGCCACACTTCACCTGATCCGTTCCTAGCAAGCAGGGTCGTGACCCTGCTCTGCCCCCTGCCCTTCCTCCATAAAGAACCACTCACTCCTCCCCAGCGCTGACCACAGGGGGCCTGTCACCTCCTGAGTCCCAGTTACTGGAAAGGTCTGTGGAGAATCAGCTCTGTGAGTCAGTGCAGCCATGCAGGGAAAAGAGGGGCTGCTTCCCTGTGTCCCCCCCCCCCCACCCTCTCCCACAGGCCTGAGCTGCTGCAGAAAACTCCCTCCCAAGGAAAAGGAAAGTGTTTGCGCTGGTGGACACAGAGAAACCCAGAAAGTTTTAGGTGCTCACAACCAGAAACCACCACTCCACTGTTGGTGCCTTTTTAAAAGACAACTCAGGAAAAGAAACAATGGGAGCCAGGACAAGTCAGGGCCTGCAGGGCTGCGATTCGTCCGTCTGCACTTTGCACATGGACACGTGAACACAAGGGTGAGAGCTATTATCACATCTCGACTTCACCCTGCCTATTTTTCTCCCTCTGTCACCAACTCTTCAAAAGAAAGCAAAGAACTTTGCCAGAAAACAGCGTCCTTTACCCTCCCATCCCTAGACTCTAGCTCCCCCTACCTGTGGCAGAAGAAATTGCTGTCACTGAGGAAGGCCGGAAAAGGAAGTTGAGTTCAGTGTTTGACTTGGCCTTGGTGTTTGTGTGTGTGTGTGTGTGTGTGTGTGTGTGTGTGTGTGTGTGTGTACACAGCTGAAGGCGTGTAATGCGCCATAAGTGTGAGAGGACCCTAAGTGCTGTTTATCTCAGGGCCCAACAGTAGAGATGGAGTGAGTAGATGTTAATCCATTAAATGAGCAAGGAAATCTGGTAAATAAGTGTTTCACAAATGGAGAGAGGAGGAAGGGAGAATGGTAGGAAGGAGGAGGTCAATTGGGATACAGTCACAGAACAAAACCCCTCCTGGTACAACTAATGTACACTAATAAAAAATGATCTGTACGTTGAAAGCAGCGTGCCTTAAAACAGAGAGGGAAAATGTTTGTAATAAACAGACTATTCTTGCTAACAACAACAAAAATGAGCAGAGACCTTAAAATGCACGGAAAATGTCCCCTGGAAATCAAGTCACAAGGCTTGTGGCTTAATCAAGCTCAAATTGTTTTCATATAATCCCTGAAAAGCAAGAGATGGGCTTTGGTTTCTTCGGTCTGGACCCCAGACCTCTCTGAGGAAGTAAGACTTCCAGAAAGCCAGCACTCGACAATTGATGTCTTTCCCCTGGGAAGATTCGATTCCAGGGCAGGAGAGTGACATGACCATCTCTCATTTTCTCTCTGCAGCTCGACCATTACCCCTCTGTGAGCTACCATCTGCCCAGCTCATCGGACCTTCTCTTCAACTCTCCCAAGTCGCTCTTTCTTGGAAAAGTTATAGGTAAGACTTGGAGCCTTCTTTATGTATAAATGTGTGTTAAGAGCTTATTCGGTATAAGAATTACACTAGGTAATGTGGTTTTGCATTTCTAAATTACCTAGCAAGCTTGCGCTCTCTCGCGCGCCCGCGTACGCGCTTTCTCTGGGGTTAATCACAAATACCTCATCTGTACAAGAAAGGCTGTGCAGTAGTGCTCAGTGATGTAGTGCAGAAGCATGACCACACCTCTCCCGTGATACCTTCTGAAGCCACCCATTTGCCTTGGAAACACACAGCGATTGCCACGAGGGCTTCTAAGTCTGTGACTGAAATGAGACCAATGTCATGGGTGGGTGGACTCGTCCAGGACAGGCCCTTCTGCCCCATGCTCTTTGGTTTGTTCAAGATATTATTTCTTCATGATTTCCCCTTTTCCTCTCACAAGGAAGCTGACTGATAGTATTTGCACATTACAAAAGCCAAGAGGAATTAGGGTAATACATTTCTCCCATAGACATTACTGCTGTCAGGATGAGAATACAGATGTGACAGCCCATGGATTGGTAAAGGCTTACATCATGAACCAATGGCATTGTTTCTCTCCATGGATATAGTCAGATGGGGTCACACGTAGCTGGGAGAGGGAGATGTCACTGCGTGTGTCCACTAGGTGGAGCTGCTGTGCCCCTGCTACCCCGGCAATCACTGAGGCAGTAAGTTTTGCAAAAGTTCATTCACAAAGTGGCCAGATGTGAGGCCTCCCTTAGGATAGGAGTTAAAAGTATTTATGGAGCAAAGAAATAGAGTGGCTGGGTACTGGAGGCCATCATGCCTGTGATCCTAGCGATTCAGGAGGCTGAGATCTGGAGGCTAGACAGAAAACTCTGCATGACTCCAACTTTAAGATGACCAGCAAAATGCTGTTCTGGAGGCATGGCTCAAGTGGTAGAGCTCCAGCTGAGTAAACGTTCAAACTCTGGTAGAGGTGAAGAAAGGTGATCTCCCTGTGTTTTGCACAGGCATAGTCGGTCTTCGTGGCTCCTCGCGGGATATGTATCCAGAAAGCAGCAATGTTGGGCTGGGAAGGTGGCTCAGTGGTAGAGTGCTTGCCTTGCATGCCTGAGGCCCTGGGTTCGATTCCTCAGCACCACATAAGCAAAAAGAAAAAAGCCAGAAGTGGCACTGTGGCTCAAGTGGTAGAGTGCTAGCCTTGAGCTGAAGAGCTGAGGGACAGCGCCCAGGCCCAGAGTTCAGGCCCCACGACTGGACCTCCCCCCACCAAAAAAAAAGAAAGAAAGAAAGCAGCAATGTTAGAGTTCTCAGCAGGTGGAGGTCTTGACACAGTGAGGTCAGAAGATCATCCATCTGTCACTTGTGCAGCCCAGATGGAAGGATCAGTGGCTTCAACCACTTTGAACTAGACAAAGGCCACCTCCTGTCACGGCCAAAGTAACCACCCATAACTGTTCCTGATGGGCTCTAATCTTCAAGCATGTGACTTTTCAAGCAGTGGGGGAAATGGACAGCTGAACACAAGTGACGAAAGACGGTTGTTCAGGTTTTCCTGGGGCTCCAAACAGAGAATGTGCCTTCTGGATTTTAAACTTCAGAGATGAAGAAAAATCCGCTGTGCATAGGAACCAACCATGCAAGTATCAGTGACTCAACACACATACACACACACACACACACGAATGAAGACATTGCCATTCACATGAGAGGAAGTTGGGGCCCCTGCCAAAGGCCCAAGCAGAGATGGACTCTCATTTCCCCAGCAGCAAGTTCCCTCGAAATGAAAACATAGCCCATCATTCTACTCCACCCTTGCAAAGAACAAGCATTCAACAAACACTTCATGGATGAATAGTAAATAATGAAAAGATAATCAAAAAGAATGTCAGTATAGATGTGTCCTACAGAGTAATGATACTAGCACAGAGGCTGAAATCTGCAATTCTACCCATCTTATTTTCTATTTTACTCGTCAACCTGACGACAATGAAGGATAAGTAATACCAGCTTAAGAATCAGATGGAGCAGGTTAGACTTGAGTCCACACGAGTCTCTAGTTGAAATTCTGGACCTGGTATCTTATTACTTTGTTATCTTAACCTCTCAGAGTCTGGGTTTCCTCAAATAAAAAAGGGAGAATACAAATACCCACACAAATCTCCATGAGGAGAGATGATCAACTTCTTTTATTAACTAGTCTATTTGCAGCATCAAGGTTAGTGCCTGTGGTACATAAAGTATATTTGTAGAATGTAGTTCAGTGGTAGAGTGCCTGCCTGGCATGTACAAAACCCTGGATTTAATCCCTAGCACAAAAAAATCGTGAACTAAATGAACTATACATTTAATAATAAGCTAAAAACTTAGCCTAGGGCTCATCCAACACAAAACCTGATACATCAATAACTAAAACAGTTCCTATTGCTGAATAGATACCTGTACTTCTGCCATATGCTGTTTGTGTAGGAATGTCTACATCCTTTCTAACACCAGCCAGACCATTGTACAAAAGAAGTAACCAAGGGTCAGATTGGTTAGGGTTTTGGGGTGTTTTTTGTTATTACTGGGCTTTTTGGCAGAGGGGGAAGGGAGGATTTGACGTTGGTCTTGTTAACAAAAGCAGGATAACACTACTCACATTTGGGTAAAAGGATTCTTAACTGCAGGGCTTTCTGTACCTGACAGCATCCCCAGCCTTCACCCACTAGATTTCAAAAATAAAGGCTCCAAACGTTGTCAAATGTCCTCCAGAGAGTAAAGTCACACCATGTGAGAACCACTGGCTTAAAGTCAACCAGCTAGTTCCAGTGAATGAACCTGGAGTTGAGTAAGCACATGACACCATGACCTAGGCTCTGGTTCCTGATCAACTCCATCTTTCACAACCACAATAAAGCAAGGATGGTTAGTTCCCCAAGATACAGTGCTGTTCATATAATCAAAGGAATCACAGATGAAAGGAAGGAAGGAAGGAAGGGAGGGAGGAAGGAAGGAAGGAAGGAAGGAAGAAGGAAGGAAGGAAGGAAGGGAGGGAGGGAGGGAGGGAGGGAGGGAGGGAGGGAGGGAGGGAGGGAGGGAGGGAGGCTAGTTATTTATCATCCCTTCAAGTTAATAATATATAAATATTTTATCATTTAGAATGGGCAGAACTAGGGAGGAACATTTTTTTAATCTTTTCTGAAAATAACATCCAACTTCAGGGAGAGACAACTCATTTGCATTTGCCAGCTATGCAAACATTCATCTAAAAGATGAATTGAACTTGCAACCGATATCTCATTTACTCCCAAAGGATTTTCAACACCCCTAGAAATTGAGGCTCCCTCCCCTAGTTGTTGCTTTGCTGTGTCAACTCCTATCAGTAATTAATCCCATAAAAGAAGGAGAAGAAGATGGATCTAAATAAATACCATGTCTTCACAGTGAGCTCTCTGACAAGCATTGCTTGGAAAGGATTCATAGAAAGGATAATAGAAAGGGTACGTAATCTAGGACAGGTATGAGCTGTATAAAGGGAATGAAATAGAATTTAGGAATAAAAGTGAGACCACAGCCAGGCACCAGTAACTCACACCTGTAATCCTACCTACTCAGAAGGCTAAGATCTGAGGATCACAGTTCAAAGCCAGACCAGCAGGAAAGTCCATGAACCTCTTATTGCCAACTAACTATCAAAAAAAGCCAGACATGGAGCTATGTCTCTAGTGGTAGAGCTAGCCTTGAGTAAAAAAAGAACTCAGCACCCAGGCCCTGAGTTCAAGTCCCAGGAATAAAATTGTAAAATGGGTTCTTATATGACTCTAAGTCCTTCTAGCAGGAACTCAGGATCACTGCAAGCAGAAAAGGTTTACAAAGCAGCAATATCAGCAGCTCAAATTATATCCTTTTCTTTTTTAATCATTTACTGCCTGAGTCACATGCTAGACCTCAAATGTCTCCTGTTTAGCATCAAATGCAATGATCTCTCAAGAAATCTTAAGTCAATGAACAGAAATGTAATTTGAAGCCTGTCTAGGGGAGGGGTGCCTTCTATTAACTCTTCTCCAATATTTTATCAGTGCTTTGGGTAAAGACACAAATAGCATGTACGTTTTCAAATGACACAAGCTGAAAGGGACAGTTTAATATGCTGGATGATAAAAACCACTTCAAATTATCTTGACAGGCTGGAAAGATGGGCTGAAAATAATGAGATGAAATGTAATAGAGATAAACTTAATTCTTTCACCTACACCGAGAAAAAAAAAAAAGCAAACACTTAAGTACAAAACGGGAGACTCCTAGTGCCAAAGACAACCCCAGGGGATTGGTTTGAGGGACAGTTTGACACAAACCAGTGAATTTTGGTGACTGATGCTTAAATGAATCTAATACTAAGCTTTATTAATCACATTCAGCAGGATATTAATAACCCTAGAAGACCAGGAAGATACAGGGCCCATAAAAGAAAAATCAAAAGACCTGAAAAACCCAGACACCACACCCGTGGCTCACACATACAATCCCGGCTACTCAGAAAGCTGAGACCCATGGATTGCAGCTCAAAGCCAGTCCCGGTAGACAAATCAAAGAGACTTTTCTTTCCAGTTAACCAGCAAAAAAAGCCAGAAGTGGAGGTATGGCTCAAGAGGTAGAGTGCCAACCTTGACCAAAAACAAAAACAAAAAGAGCCTAAGGCTCTAAGTTCATACTCCAATACTGGCACAAAAATAAACAAAATAAAACTGACAAGTGTCTCTATTCTGTGTGAGGTCTGAAAGGATGATTACATTTTGGGCTTCTTGACATCATAGACTACATGGATGTATCACAGATGTGAATGTAGAGGGATGTTACTATATACGGGTCATCACATCACAATAAATTCTAGGTTCTTGCATGGGTAACCTACTCAGGACAGCACAGGTACAACTAAAGCAACCTTGTGTTCCTATGGGTCCCGGATCCTGAGAACCTGCATCATCCACAGAATCTTGAGTGATCTGCTACCCATCGTTACAGAATTTCTG